AACAATTGAAGAAAAGGAGACGAAATAAATTAAAACATTATCTGCTTCTTTCCATAGGCCAGCAGTCCCTCTTCTTTCCTCAACTCATTAACTCTTTCCTTTTGAATAAGTTCATTCCCTGTAATAAGTTCAATACAGTATCTACTGTACCCTTCAGATTCCATTTTCTCTTTCAGGTTCTTACACTAAGGACACAATACTATGTTTGCACATGCAGGTCTGATTTATTTCACTTAAGAGTATGTTCTCCAGTTGAATCCATTTACCAAAAAGAGACTCAAATTTATCCTGTTTTATTGCTGAACAATACTCTATTATGTAAAACTACACATCTTCTTTATTGATTCTTTAGTTGATGGGCATTGGGGTTGTTTCCAGGATTTAGCTATGACAAATTGTGCTGCTATGAACATGGGTACACTTATATTGCTGTGGTATGAGGTTTTCAATTCTTCTGGAAAAATACCCAGGAGGTGAATAGCTGGTTTGGATGGGGTCTCTAATCCTTGCTTTTGTAGGAGTCTCCACACTGATTTCCATAATGGTTGTACCAGTCTGCACTCTCTCTAGCAGTGCAGATGGTTGTTTTTTCTCCACAGCCTCTCCAGCATTTGTTATTGGCTGACTTCTTGATGTTGGCCATTCTTTCTGGGGTGAGATGGAATCTCAGTGTTATTTGAATTTGCACTTCTCTAGTGACTGATCATGAACATTTTTTCATATATTTACTTGCTATTTGTGATTTTTCCTCTGAGAAGTATATATTTATCTCAAATGCCCATTTTTTATTGGGTCTTTGAATTTGGGGGGGCTGACTTTATTAAATTCTTTCTGTGTTGTAAGTAGGAGGCTGTTGTCAGAGAGACAGTCAGCTATAATTTTCCTAGTTTGTGGATTTTCTTTTTACTCTGTTGGAGATTTCTTTGAAGTGCAGAAACTTTTCAAAAAGATGACACCACTGTTGCTGATTCTTTGATTTCCTGTGCACTTTTTTGTTCATAAACTCTCTACCTACCTTCAAGATTTCTACCTACATTTTCCTCCAGAAGATTTAGTGTTTTTATTTTTATATTTAAATCCTTGACCCATTTTGACTGTAGGATTGTGCATAGTGATAGGTATGGGTCTAGTTTTACCCTTTGGCATACAGAAAGCCAGTTATTCTTGGACCATTAGTTAAAGAGGCTATCTTTCTTCTAGTGAGACTGTTGCGCCACTTTATTAAAGATAAGATGGCTCAGTGTGTTTGCAGTCATTTCTGCATCTTCTGATCTGTTCCATTGAACATCAGGTCTGTCTGTATGCTGCTACTGTGCTGATTTTATCACTGTACCTTTATAGTATAATTTCAGGTCAGGGATTGTGAAACATCTTGTCTTTCCTTTGTTTCCCAGGAATGCTTTGATTATTCTGGGTCTCTTCTGGTTCCAAATGAATTTGAGGAATATGTTTCCTAGCTCTCTGAGATATACTAATGGTATTTGAATCGTGGTTGTATTGAATCTGTATAACAATTTTAGGAGTATGACCATTTTCACAATGTTGGTTCTTCCTATGCAAAAGAATGGAATATTTCTCCATTTTCTCAAATCCACCTCAATCTCTTTTTCTCAAAGTACCATAATTTTCACTGTATAAATCATTTATGTCCTTTGTGAGATTGATTCCTGAGCATTTTATTTTTTTGGATGTTATTGTGAAAGGCGTGGTTTCCCTAATCTCACTCTCAGTATGTTCATTGTTTGTGTACAAAAATGCTACAGATTTTCATGTGTTGACTCCATATCTTGCTATGTTGCTGAATTTGGTGATTAAATCTACAGTACTTTTCATGCAGTTTTTGGGTTCTTCTATGTACAGTGGCTTGTCATCTGCAAATAATGATAGTTTTACTTCTTTTTTAATCCTTATTCCTTTTATTTTTCTCTCTTGTCTAATTCCTAAAGCTAATGTTTCCAGAACTATATTAATAGGAGTGGAGTCGGTGGACATCTTTGTTTTGTTCCTGGTTTTAAAGTGAAGCCTTCAGTTTTTGCCCATTTAGTATGATGTTGGCTCTTGGTTTCTCATAGATGGCTTTTATCAGGCTGAGATGTAAATCATCTATTCCAATTCTCTGTAAGTTTTTTTTTTTTTTTATCATGAATGAGCATTGGACTTCGTCAAAAGCTTTTCCTGCATCTATTGAGATGATCATGTGGTTTTCATTCTTGGTTCTATTGATGTGTTGTACTACATTTATGTAATTGTGGATGTAGAACCATCCCTGCATCCTGGAAAGAATCCCACCTCATCATGATGTTAAATCTGCTAGATGATTTGCTGCATTCTGTTTGCTAGTAATTTTTGAGGATTTTTGTTTTCATTAGTGAGATTGGCCTATAGTTCTCTTTTTTAGTTGAATATTTATCTGGTTTTGGAATCAGAGTAATACTTGCCTCCAGGATTGAGTTTGGGAGACTTGCTTCCCTTTCAATTTCATTGAATAGTTTGAGAAAAGTTGACATTAAATCTTCTCTAAAATTCTTATTTAAAAAAATGTTGCTGCGAATCCATCAGTACCTGGGATTTTCTTTGTTGGTAAGTTTTTAAATATGTTTTCAATTTTTTGTGGTTCATGGCTGCACTGATAAAGGTTCTACAATCTGAGGTACAGGATCTCAGCATAAATCCTGAGGGCATTTCACTGACCTTCTCAGACCAAAAAGCTACAACTCTTGTTGCA